TTTATTATATAGGACTAGCTGCCCAGTGCACGAAATTCATGCATGGGGGAGGGGGAGGCCCCTCAGCCCAACCTGCACCCTCTCCAATCTGGGACCCTTTGGAGGATGTCCAACGGCCAGTTTTGGCCTTAATCCCAAGGATTTAGGGCGCACTGGGCAAAGGGAGCAATAAGCCCTCGCTCCCGACACAGACCCCCAGAATGCCAGCCTCTGCCAAGGACATTTCTGAACACCCTTTCTGCTCCCTGCACTGTAACAACCGTAACACTCAGCACCCTATTTCCTTTTCAGGCCAGAGCGCTGGACAAACGGTGCTCACCCTCACAATGCCGCCAAGCTGTAAGAGAAACCATGTTTCTGAGAACCGAGGATGCTAAGAGCACTGGAGGCTTCCAAATGAATCACAGGTTTCAGGGGTCAGTGCAGGCAAACAATGGCTGAGGAATAAACACCCATCTTGCCAAATTCTCCTGGTCATTGCTGGGGAAACCAGAAAGAACACGGAGAGCACAACCTGGCCAGCCAGCAGGCGCTGCAGGGGCACTTGCTGTTGGTAGCTGCCCGCAGGGCCGTGGGAACTCAGCACCCATCTCCCCCTCCCAGCCTCATCCCCCATAGCAACCTCCAGCTTTGCACTGGCAACAACCCCCTTTCCCTTGTCCTACCAGCAGGCCCCTTCCTGCACTGCCCTCGGTCCCTGGTGCTTGTCAGAGAGGTGGGACACAGGCAGCCTGCTCAGCTCTCGGTGGGGCCAGCTGGGAGCTACAACTCACGGCCAACTGTCCAGAGCACACAAATGGAAAGCTCTGGGCAAGGGGTGTGTGTGTGATGGGGGGAAGGGGAGGGGGCACGGTTGGGGAGGGGAGGGGGGAGCGCTGGGGTTCCAATGGGTTTATTTTCTCTTTTTTTTTAATTTAAATTTTTTTTTAATAAGCAGTAAGGTGGGGTCAAAAATATTCAGCCTTCTGAATTCTACAAGACAGTAGTGAAATGATTAAAGGCAGAGCCTGAATGGAGATTTCTGCCTTATAACCTAGTGAGGGAAGCAGAGTCAGGCCTGCTAGCACAAAGCCATCCCCACATCACATACACACACTCACTCACTCACACCCACCTCCACCCAAAATAAATTAACTGAAGAACTTTTGCATTAAGACTGATTCTAACCCATTCACAAATTAAATAATTACATTTTTACAAAACTGTATGACATTCATCTTGGTGCTAAAATAAGCAGTTAAATAAGTTGTTTTTATTTTCATGTAAAAGAATGCAGTATGAAACACATGAATCAACTGATTTATTTTTATTAAGGAAAATCAATTGCATTTGGAAAAATGTCTAGAATACCTATAGGTAAGGAATATTAGACCTTTGTTATGGCTACTGGTCCTTAACATTTATGCAATTAATGTTTTGTGAACAAACAGATCTACATACTGATTCTAAACTCTAGTCGTAGTGTTTTACAAATGGCCCTGAAACACATCAGTGTGGTCAGTCAGAAACCTGGTGTTGGTTTCCATTCTCGAGCATCTTAGTGGATCCTTGTACTGTCCACACATTTTTGATAGGTACTTTATTTTATTTTTTAAAAATCTCTTTATTGATTTCAGTAAAGAAGAGTGAGGAAGAGATAGAAACATCAATGATGAGAGAGAATCATTGATCAGCTGCCTCCTGAACAGCTAGCCCCCTCTTGGTATCGAGCCCACAACCTGGGCGTGTGCCCTTGACTGTACCCTTGACCAGAATCGAATTCAGGATCCTTCAAGCTGCTCTACCCACTGAGCAATTCCAGCCAAGACAGTACTTTTTAAAATAACACTATATTTAGCATTGCTGACAGAAGTGACTATTTTGCATTAGCAAATGTATTGACTGTCCTAAAAGTGCAGACATTGAATTGCAGATCATTGCTATAAGAAGTAACATGCACAGATAAGTACATTCAAGGAATTTTCTGGTAATGATTTGTACTCTCTGTAGGATATCAGCTGACCCTCTGAGTACATTAATTGTTATTTTTAATCTACATGAACTGATAGCCATATTCCCTTTCTTTCATAACTCGTTACTTTTTAAATTATAAATTTTACAAAAGGAAAAGGGTAAAAAAGGTGATTTTTCTTTCAATGGTATAGACCTTTTGCACTTGAAGTATATTTTTCCCCTCTTGGATTTCTGGGAATCCAAACTGAATAAACAAACACCATTCAACAATGAATTTTAATTATACATTTTAATTATACAACTACCACTTCACCTGCCAGTTTGCAGAGAGCTGCTACTAATCATTAGCCTGCTTGATTCATATTAAAATGCTGAATTTAGTTTTCTGAAGCCCAGAGATCTCCAGAGCATGACACCCCCACTTTTGTTCTTCTGTCTCAAGGTCTGACTACTTGTGGTCTTTTGTAGGTCCACATGAATTTTAGGGTTATGGATGAACCAAGAGGGTATTATGCTAAGGGAAACAACTGAAGGACTGCTACTTTATAACTATGAAACCTCCATGTATTATGCACTTTTCCGTATGTAGGTCATAGCTCACTATTTAATATAAGAATCCTATATAATAAAAGGCTAATATTAATATGCAAATCAACCAAAGGGAGGGACGATCAGTCGCTATGACATGCAATGACCACCAGGGGACAGATGCTCAATGCAGGAGCTGCCCCCTGGTAGTCAGTGTGCTCCCACAGGGGGAGCACTGCTCATCCAGAAGCTGGGCTCATGGCTGGCCTCTCTCACCTTCACAGCAGGTGGACATCCCCCAAGGGGTCCTGGACAGCAAGAGGGCACAGGCCAGGCTGAGGGCCCCATCCCCCACCCCAGTGCATAAATGTCATGCACTGGGCCTCTAGTTAGTAAATAAAAATAACTGGAGCAACTTGGTTGACTCATTAAATCCATGAAATTTCTGATTCCTAAATATTCATAGCTAACCCTTATATCCAAACCCAGTAGATATAAAACCCAACTTCCTAAGTTTCTTATTCCCTTGTATCTACAGGGCCATTAAGCACTACAGGAGCCCTGGCCTGGTTGACCCATACCCCCAAAGGTGTGGGTTCGATTTCTGGTCAGAGCATATACCTAGGTTACAGGTTTAATCCCTAGTTGGGGCAATTCAGGAGGCAATCAATAGATGTTTCTCTCTTACATCAGTGTTTCTCTTTCTCTTTCTCTCCTTCTCTTCCTTCCTCTCTTTAAATAAATAAACACACACATACACCTCCTCAGGTGAGGATGAAAAAGCAACAAAACACTAGAGGTAAAATGGAAATTTCTGGGAAGATCAGATCCTCCACCTCAGATAAGAATGTCAGCAGCCACCTGGGCCTGCCTTATTCCTCATTCTTCAGAAGGAAAAACAAAGGCTCCTCTTCTAGACAAGAAATATGTGCCATGCTCTCTCTACCATCCAGCTGTTATTTCACAGAATTTTTGTTTAAGACCAAATGCTGATGAGGGCTCCCCAGACCTAGCTGGGGGTAATGCACCTGCCCTCTCTGGAGTCCAGCTTTCTATTCCCTCTTTCTAGAAATAGTTGCCCCAGATGGATGGGGGTAAAAGAGCCAGTTGAGGCCTCATGACCTCCTATCCTTGGGTCATGATAGAGGGTCACCCTCCAGTGCAAACATATACAAGGTCAACCTCCTCAGAACAGGGAGCAGAAAATTGGTCACATGCACATGGCCTAGTGGTGTGGTCGGCAAACAGCAGCTCGCAAGCCCCATGTAGCTCTTTGGCCCCTTGAGTGCGGCTTTTCCACAAAATACCACAGCCTGGGCAAGTCTATTTTAAAGAAGTGGTGTTAGAAGAAGTTTAAGTTTAAAAAATTTGGCTCTCAAAAGAAATTTCAATCATTGTACTGTTGATATTTGGCTCTGCTGACTAATGAATTTGTCAACCACTGGCCTAGTGGAAGAAAGGAACCTCATCACTGAAGTTAAGAGGATGGGCACATTAACCAGCCTCCAGGGTAGACCATGAGCATTGCATTCAGAATAACCTGGCTTCAAATTCTTTTAAAAGCGTTGCTGCTTAATGCTGCTGTGACCTTGAGAAAAACACAAAGTATAAGAATGAAATAAGCCCTAGCTGGTTTGGCTCAGTGGATAGAGTGCAGGCCTGAGGACTGAAGGGTCCCAAGTTCAATTCCAATCAAGGGCATGTACCTTGGTTGCAGGCACATCCCCATTAGCTGACTGATGTTTCTTTCTCATCAATGTTTCTAACTCTCTATCACACTCCCTTCTTCTCTGTAAAAAATCAATAATATATATATTTTTTAAAAGAATAAAGATCCTAGATAAAACAACACACCAAATGCTTTACAAGTAACAGCTGACAACTGTGAAATGTTCCTGCTGTGAACTCAACTCTTACAGGAGAGCCTGCTGCTTGTAAGGAGGGGTGGGCACAGCTGGCGGAAACAGGTCACCCTGAAGCCCTGTGACAGTGGGTTTTCCATTCTTAAGAATGTGCTCTTTTGCTCTCCCTCTCTGGAACACCCTCGTACCTTTCCCTTCTCTTCCATCTTCCTCCAGGCACGTGACCTCTGCCTTCCTCTCTCTCAGCTCTTGGCTTCCTTCTTCTGCCTCAGTAACTTGTTTCCTGAGCCTGCACAGCCCCGCTGGTTCACTTCTACTACCTCTGTTACTTTCTACATAGACTTTCCCTTATAATTTGAAAAAATAAATTATTGTTTGTTAAGGTGACACAGACCTTTGTTTAAAGGTGCCATAGGGTAAGACACACGTGAGGATATTAAGCAGAGCTAAGGAGCCACACCCTACACTGCCGATCTGGACTGCGCTTTTCCCGGAGGAGGGCCAGCTTTCAGCTCTCCCACAGCTGCCACTGTGCCCGGTGATCTTCAGCCAGTCTTCCAAGGAGTAGGCACCGAAAGCTCTGCAGAGCACCTGGCTCCCCCGACACTCCGGGCACCCCCCCTGCTTCCCCGGCTGCAGAAGATCCCCCGTACCTACCATAATGGTGTGCTCCGGGAACCTGGCACGGACCAGCTTCACGAATTCCACGAAGTGCTCCGAATAGCCATTGGCCACGTCCAGGCAAATAAACTTCACCTGCGGCACCGCTTCCAGGATGCTGCTCATCTTCTCCAGGTCCTTCTTCCCACTGCCGGAGCTCACGGCCACGTGCTGTGTCGACAGAAACCAAGAGGACGAGGCGTGGACAGTGAGAAGTCTTCAGAGCCAGGCCCTGCCTCCATCCCCCCACCTGTTCTGGGGACAGTGCAGTGACCCTCGGAGGCCAGCTACCCTGATCAAACCTGCAGAGAGTGGCCCTGCTGGAGAAGCAGGCGGCAGCGGAGGGGAAGGAAGTCCTTGGTTACGTCATCCAAACTCTGCCCCTGCTTCTTCCCACCATCAAACTGCATATATCCTGGACCCTGGCCTTCAGCCACGAATGGTTCTAGCAAACAGTTTGTTTATTAAGTAGACAGTAAACAACATGTCCTTGGTTCTCTATGTGGGACTCTGAATCATGGACCCATTGGTGCGAATTCTCCTCCTCCTGGAGGAGAGGAGGCGGGAAGAATGATGGGGAGGCCAGTCAACTGGGGCCTCCGGACGCCCACGCTGTGGCCATCACCCCCAGCATCTCGCTTTGGGGCTCAGGAGGAGGGAGGGAAAGGTGTCTAAAACTCCCCCGATAAAACCCTTTTCTGTTTTTATTTTCACTCCCAATACAATACTAACACCACATGCAAATCGTAACCCAAAGAGCTGCAAATCTCAGTGTTCCTACTAAAAGGGCCAAGAACAAAGGAGCCTGAACGCATCATTGCCCAGATGCCCTGGGTTGTGTTTACAGCCACCGCGCCCCCTCCGTGACCCCCTCCCCAACCTCCACAGCACCAGCACCCTCCAAACCACCCATTGGCTCCTCGGAAAGATGCTCTTTGGGGAAAGACCTGTGTTTAGTAATTTATGCCTCAGGGAAACTAAGCCATGGGACTGTGCCCAGAGTTGGCATCATTTCACCTTTATAAGATTATAAGAATATTTTAACTTGTTTTCTCTCATCCATAAACCACAGAGGAGGGACATATATTAATATCCTTGCTATTCCCCCCAAAATCACAACAATGTAGCCGCAGCCCAGTGACTGTAAGAGAACTGTAACAGGCTGCCTGCTGACTCATTTCCTGCGTTTACTCCTCTTTCATTCGTGTTGGCAGCGTGACCAAGTGCTGCCCGACCCACACATCTTTGCCCTCCCACGAGAGCTTTGCTCTTTTTTATTTTCCCTTCTATTTCTGCTTCTCCCAGTGCTGCTGTTCTTAACATTTTCCCTTTTCAGAAAAATCAGCCTTTAGTTTGGAGGGGGCTGAGTAATAAGTAAAACCACCTCACTCGCTCATGAAAGCCAGAGTTCCAATTAGCCACTCCTGGCCCCACACTCATTGCCTTCCCGACTTCTAACAGGAAGAGGGAGAGAGAAGGTGAAACAAGTATAGTTCATGTGAACACAGTATGTCAAAAAGGGAGGATTTGCTATTGAGCCAGAATTATTTTATCTCCAAAACCACCTTCTCACTAATCAAAATCCACACATAATTAAAATGTAGAAAAAAAGAAAAGAAAAAAAAAGCCAGCGCAACCTCAAACACCGCCCCTGTGAAGTCATTTTGCAATCCTGGGTAATCTGATCGGAGGAGAGTGTGTCTAAGGCAGACGCTCTGCTGGCCCGGGCTCCGAACCAACCGCGTGCCAGGAGGGAACTTGGGCACATCAGAGTGGGGCTTTTTGTTATTCTCAAATCGCCCTTAAAAAAAACTGTAAGAGCTTTATTGAGATAAAATCACATACCATCCCATTCACCCATTTAAAGTGCACAGTCCAGTGGTTTTAGTGCATTCAGAGCGGTGAACCACCATGGTTATCAATGGTAGGACATCCTCGCCACCCCGAACGGAAACTCTCTTGTAGGCCTTGCCCACCCTCCCATCGCTCAAGCAACCACTAATGTACCTTCTGTCTCCAAGGTTTGCCTATTCTTGATGGTTCACGTGAACAGTCACATATGTGGCCTTTTACTGTATCTGGCTTTTTCACTTTGCCAAGTGTTTTCAAGGCTCATCCAGCTGTAGATGTGTCGGTACTTTTAACAGTTGAGTAACATTCCATTGTGTGGCTATACCAGTTTTCATTCATCCGTTAGTTGATGGATACCTGGCTAGCTTCTACCTTTTGGCTATTATGAACAATGCTGCTATGAATGCCTCCGTATACATTTTGGTGTGGACATGTTGTGTTTTGTTTTTTAATTTCTCTCAGGCCTATAACTAAAACTGGAATTGCTGAGTCATATGATAGCTCTTATAATTTAACCTTTCTGAGGAACTGCCAAACTTTTTTCCAAAGCAGTTGCACCATTTTACCTTCCCACCAGCAATACAGGAGGGTTCTAATCTCTCCACTTCCATGCCAACACTAGTTACTCTCTGTCTTTCAGTTATAGCCCTCCTAGCGGGCATACTGCTTACTCAACTCCAAAACAACCCACTACAATTAGATGTTTTTCCTACATCCAGAAGGAATGTTTGGATTGGATCTACCCCTGGCAGGAAACAGAGGTCTTTCCCAAGCTCTCATAACACTTCACCTTTCAGGGGTAAAACACAGAGACTTCTTGCAAGTAAATCCCAATACTTTCAAAACAGGATACAGAACAGATTTCCTCAGCAAATCCCTGGCAATGACGAAGGGCTGGGGGACCACTACTGCGGTTACCCAGGTCTCTCTCAGGTGTAGGGGTGTGTGTGTGTGTGTGTGTGTGTGTGTGTGTGTGTGTGTGTCTGCTGCCGATTCAAATCCTTCAGACAACCCCAAAGATTTTCTACCCTTTGCAACAAATACCTGCAGGCATTCTGGGTGATCTGCGGCGAAATGCTTCCAGTCGTCCAGGGTGTAATGCTTGTGAACCGCTGTAAACATGGAGTGCTAGGGAACGAAACAGCACCGTTACGATGAGAAGTCAAGTGAGCCTCCTTCCTCTGTAAGGTGGAGGTCAGCCAACAATACAAAAGCATTGGAGGTTTCTGCCAGTCACGTTTAATTAGCTTTGAATATGCTCCTAGGAGCCAAAAACAGATAAAGGTGAAACCAGTGACATCACAAAGGGGTTTTCCATTCTAATCTGACGAGAAAACACCACATTCAGTATGTAGGAGGCTCTGCCAGGAGGCAGGGGAGGGAAGGTGGAGAGTTCTGAGCCCTGTTTCGCCGACTACCTGCACTAGGCCAAGAGCAGGTCCCCTGCCCATACGAAGGGCCTCCTCAAGGCCAATTGTGCTTAGCCAATCCGAGAGAACCTCAACTTATACCTGAAAGCTTTTCCTTTTGGTCACAATCTAAGTATTTCTTGCTAAAAGCCAAACCCATCAGGCAGTGGGTATCCCTAAGGAAGGAAATTATATAAATTATAACAGGAAGTCTATGACTACCAACCTGCCATTTATTGAGTACCTACCTTGTGCAAGCAGTGTGCATACATTATTTCATTCACTTCTCAGAACAACTTTGTACACCAATATTAGCTTTGTGGGCAGAAAAGAGCATAGGAAGTTTAAATGTAAGACATTTCACCATTGCTTGGTCAGTAAGGGGCAAAGGCAGAATCAGACTCAAATCTGACGGCAGAGCTCAGGCTCCTTCCCCCTACACCAAGGCCTCTGTCATCACTTCTCTGGTCCTTTTCTCCACCCGCAGCTTCTAAAATTCCATGACTTCATTCACTCGCACTAACTCAATGGATCCCAGAAATAGAAACTGCATAGTACCCATGCATGGGGAGCTATTTCAGTGTATTCTGCCTTGTTAATGGGGAGTCTTTCCCGGGAAAATGGGAAAAGCATAACAAAGTGTATGTTTTTCATGGACTAATAATCTGATATGTGAATTAATCAGGGCTATTTATTGCTCCCTGATTCCACTCACTTTTACACCAATACATAATTCATTAGTAGTGACGGCTGATCACAGAGCAGAGCAAGGAACAGATGGGTTTGGCTTTTAGCAAGAAATTCCTTCAGCAATTAATTTATTAGCCTCTGGCCCAAAGCTCAGTGGGGACTGAGGGCTGACAGATAATACAACTGACAGATCTATGGAGTCAGACAGACCACCTCCTACGCCATGCTTTGAGCTCATAATTTGTTTAAAGATCTTCCTGCTCATCACTGGCTAATAATGACTCCCAGCACCTCCTGAGGTTAGACTTGCTGCCCACAGCCAGAAGCTCTTTCAACTAATGGATTTATTTTTTTTCACTTGGCAGGATTATCAGGGGAAATTGATGTGCACCCCCTGTGCCCATGGCAAGTGGATATCTGCATCTCAGATGAATAGAGTGCCTTGCACCTGGGACAGGGCTGCGTGAGACACAGTCCTGCCCACAGAAAGCTTCTCCTTTATTTTCCCCAAGGCCGGGATACTAGCTACTCCATTCACAGGAAATTGGACTGGCAGTTGGTTAAGGGGGACTGTGCCCTTGTACTGTGATCTGTCTGTGTAAATTGAGAGGCAAATCCCTTATTCTGGAGTCGGTTTGGGTTTGAAACTTAAATTTGTCTCTACTTGGCTGAATGCCCTGGGCCAAATTATCTTTCCTCTCCCTCTCTGCCTCAGTTTCCTCATCTGTAGAAGGAACCTACCTGGTGAAGCTGTGGCATTACATCATCATATCCAGGGTTTGGCATGTAAAGTGCTCAGTGAGAGCTTTCTGCATGATGTAACAACGCTACAGCACAGACTGCACACGAAGCAGTTATATGTTCATTTAAGGGCACTCTCTCTTCTATATTATGGCACTCAGCTAACTTTACAATGTGACACAATGTCCACCTTCTTCCTGTAGCTCTAATTTCCAAACTATCATGGGCATCTTCAAGGAAGCAATGGATGTGGCTCTAGGCCAGTGGTCGGCAGCCCATTAGTCAACAGAGCCAAATACCAACAGTACAACAATTGAAATTTCTTTTGAGAGCCTAATTTTTTAAACTTAAACTTCTTCTAATGCCACTTCTTCAAAATAGACTTGCCCAGGCCATGGTATTTTTATGGGAGAGCCACACTCAAGGGGCCAGAGAGCCGCATGTGGCTCACGAGCCGGAGTTTGCCGACCACGGCTCTAGGCCATCTCACGGACTGCAAAGTACAGACTCCATTTTTTCTAAATGAAAAGCAGGGAAAAACGGAAGTGCCTTCCACAACAATCAGACTTGGAACTAAAGAGTTCAGTCCCAGCCAAGGATCCAAGTGTCTCCCTTTTCTTCTCTTCCCCGTGTCCACACAAAACCAGGATGGGTTCCTGACAAGATCCAGTGTGAATGGCGGAGGGAAAAAGCCCACCACCCTACCTGTGACATCACTGCTGCCATCTCAAATGTCCCCACGGTGTCCATGTTGGCCACAATGATGGGAATCCCTGAGTAGGTCTGCTTGGAGTTTCGAAATGTGAAGGTCCGCTCCAGATCCACCTGTTGGCAGAAAGGAAAAAGAACTGCTTTGCTCTTTGCATGATTTGCAGGATTTTCTAGAATCGGAAGCAAGTGGAAAGAACACAAAGGAAGTGTATGCCCTTTAATCCCTGGATTCACTTAGTGCTGGGTCAGGTGTCCCAAAGACAGGAGAGTCCCTGAGAAGACTGAGTAGTGGCTGTTACCCAGGTACAAAAGCTGAACCCAGCTCCTCAGCATCCTCGAGTGCCAGCACTGTCACTCATCATTTGCCATCCATCCAGCCTCTGGATCCGAAATCCTATCCTTCAGGAGCCTCTCCCATAGCACTGCCTCCTCTGTCCCCAGCCTGGCTCATCCGAGCCCCACACTCCCATACACATTCCCCACTTCCCAACACTGGAGAACTAGTCCCCCCTCAGAGAAAATCCATCCCACTCTGCCCTGCCAAGCATGGCCCTCCCTGTCCTTCTCCCCTTCCCCTCCAAATTCACCCTCCAGCCAGCTGCAAACCATTAATCCCTCCACCTTCCAGCCTCTTTGGCTGCTTTGTAATCAGGAGCATCTTTCAAAGAGCTGGGGAGGGGGCACTGCAACCACCTGTGCACATAAACACGTGTTCCTCTGACTCAAAAACAGCTGGAGGGAGGGCCCTCCAACTCCAGCGTTGCATTGAGGACATTGAGGACTAAGTCCACTCTCAGGAGAGCTGGGCCAGGATGGCAGGTTCAGCAAAAGCAGAGTGCTAGGTGCTCATCCAGAGCCAGCAGAGAGAAATTACTTCTGGGGCAGACTGCAGGCCGGTGAGCGCACAGCTCCATTCCTCACCCTTCTCCTGCCATGGACCATCACAGGGAGGCCCCTGCAGGCTCCTCCCCCAGGTTGGTTTCTGGCTGTGGTCAGCCAATGGGGATCCCTGGGGAGGAAACTGGGGGAGAGTGAGCCTGGGTGTAGTCAGGGTCGCTCTCCCAGGACCCCTCTGCCCAGGCCTGCAGGATCTTGGTTCCAGCTTTCAGAGCCATCTCAGTCCCGGGGCCTAGAAAGATCGCCTTCCCCCGATTTGGAAGTGGCTTCTCTCTGCTGCCAACCTCTGGAGTGTCTCAATATCGCATTTGGCATCTCAACAATGTCAGGAGGTCTTGCATTAAATTCCCTGCTTTGAATATGAAGCAGTTTGTTTCCTTGGCTGGATCTGATGGACACAGAACCTACTGAGAGTAGGCACTTCCCCGGGGAGAACCAGAAAAAGAAACACAGGGATGTATCTCAAGCTTCTGAAATAAGCCGGACCTATCTCCCTGAATCCTGGCCTTCGTGAGTACACTGGCAAACAACCAATTCTGCCAGTGTTTATCTAGTTTCTTCTTTTATTCTTTTCAGTTGAGACAAGTTTCACTTTATCAATAGTAAAATGTCAAAAAAGAACAAAAAGCAAAACAAAACACAATGAGACATCTCAGGCCGCCTTGCCTTTTCATGTCTCTGCTTCTCCACACACACTCCCTGCCCACCGGCTTCCTGGGTGAACGATGATGTAAGGAGGTCTGCACAGACCTTAAACAGCAACAATGAGGGGGAATGAGATGCTGTCACTGCCTGGGCATAGGGGGGAGGTGTCCCCTCCTCCAGTTCTTCATTATGAGTCTTGGTTCTACTTCAGTGAAGCAAGCCACAGTTAGGTTCTGAAAGATAACTGAAGAGGTCGTATTTGTTGCCACCTTCTGTGTTGGTTAATGGCCCTCACATTTTGACCTCTATGGCTTAAAAAAAATCAGAATTTCTTGGTGTCAAATTACTCTTCCCAAGATGCCTGGGGAGAGATGCTATCCTGCCCCCAGCCGAGCACACAATGGGTTTTGGGGGGCACTCCAAAACCGATGGGCGGGACACACAAACAGAGCTCTTCATGGGAAAGGTCAGCCTTGGCAACGGACTCTCCCCCCATTTATAGTCTTCTCCATACGGTAGATTCTATGCAATCCTTAATTCTAAAAGTGATAAATGAGAAGATCTCCCCATTCTTATCTACACACACACGCACACACACACACACACACACACACACACACACACACACACCAGACCAGTTGTTCACTGAGAGATGTCTAATTCCAGTCTCCCAGGAACAAAACTGGGAATTTAATCTGCCACGGCTGGTCAGTGCACCAAATATAGCACCTCCAAACTGTCACTCGGCTGAACTGATGTGACAGGGAACATAAAGTAATAAACCGCCCTTCCCCCACCCGCAGCCCTTCAAACCTACCTTCATGCAAGTCAGCCTGCATGAGAGGGCCCGAAAGGACAAACTGTGGCCCTCCTACAGCAGTTCTAAATGCCTCATTGCAAGTCAAACTAGCAAGCTGTTTTATGGATCTTGCTCTATCCTTCTACCTTCACAAACACAGTTTCGTTGCTGACCAGGAGAGCACCAGGACCTGGTATCACGGGGAGCCAGCCGGGCCTGTAAGCCACTTCCCCTTCCTTCCTCCCAAGTCCTGTGTGCATACACATGGACACCCAGTCCACACATTACGTTCCACGCACACACATCTCCATTCCCACAAGCACCTGCCATTTGGCCACTCTCTGAGGTTAGAGGCAACATTACCAGCAGCATGAATGGCCTCTGAGAAAACACGCTTGGCAAATAGACCTTTGCGAGCTTTGGGATCAGCACCAAGTCATGAAGGCAGGGGAATCCACAATCCTGAGTACCGGGAGAGGGCCCAAAAGGAAGAGCACAGCCCACGGGCCCTGTCCAGTGAGGAGGGGTCAGGAGACCCTTCTGCCTAGACCTGTGGATGGCCCTAATTAAAGCAATTCTCTTATTAACTGCCTTGTTCCCGTGATGCCAGAATTTACGATGACTATTAAAAAGTCACAAGGGCAAACTCTACACAGAGTAGGAATAGTCCTATCTGAACCCATTTTCGTTCATGGTCAGTTACATATTGCTTTCTCTCAAGTTTGAAGAGCGTATGATGTTAAAGTTGTAAATACTTCATCACAAGAGAAATTAGTCAAGCACTCTGAAAGTGTTTTCACTCTTAATGTGGTGTACAGGAAGATATCAGAATACGTTTAATCAATTTATCAGTCATTGTATCAGTGTTGTTTTTGTTGTTTTTCTATCATGTCTTTGTTGTTATATCATGTCATGTTGTGATTATTATTTATTAATAAGCTTATATATTATTTTCAAATACATCTTACTAATTTTCTTTCATCTTTGACACTTCTATTATAGAAAAAGGGCAAATAGCAATATTAAAATATTTCCTCTAATTAACTCCCCTTTAATGTGCACGAATTTTGTGCACCGGGCCACTAGTCTATCAATAAAGACAGAGTCTTGCCCTGGCCAGTGTGACTCAGTGATTAGAGCATCAGCCTTACATACCGAAGGGTTGGTTTCATTCCCTGTCAAGGGCACATACTTGAGTTGCAAGTTCCATTTCTGCCCAGGCTACAGTCGGGGTGCATGCAGGAGGCAACCCATGGATGTGTCTTTCTCACATCAGTGTTCCTCTCCCCACACCTCTCTCTCTCCTTCTAAAAAATAATAAACAAACCAATGGGGGAAAAATATCCTTTGGTGAAGATTAACAACAACAACAAAAAGACAAGGTCTTGCCTCAGTCAACAAACATGTCAATTCTTCTGGAAAGATGACTCAACTGCCCCCACACAGACCTGTGGCACTTATATTCTTGTGTGCTAGGAGCTTGATTGAAACTATGGATGATCCAGCCCACTGTGTCTTGTGGGTGAAGGCAATGAATGGATGACCAGTTGAGAGATGGCTGCCCATCTGGTGCAACCACTGAGAGGCCTCCTGGGTCATCTCCACCTGGACCCTTTGCCTCTGGAAGGTGACTTCCATTTTATACGACACTTGTGGAAATGCCCCACCATGAGTGCTCAAACTTCCGGGCTGGGAGAACACTCTGTCCTTCTCTCCACTTCCTGCTCACAATGATCAGCACCAGGTCTGGCTCTTAGCAACACTGTTGCAGTGATCAATCTTGTCAACCATCAAAACTCTTTCTTCTGGGCAAGACTGCTCTCAGGGTTATGTTTTCTGTCCTGGCTCCACTCAAATCTGCTTTCTGATTCAGCTCAAAGTCTGGCCATTTACCAGTCATTTACTTTCAAATTTGCATTCTGGTATGACTCCTGCCAGGGAGCAGACATTTGGCTTCTATCTGATTGTGCAATGAAAATATTTTAATCCGCCTCTAAAACATTTCAGGCATCCTCCAGCAAACTGAGAAAACACTGAGAGGGGATCAGAAGCCTAGCTTGACCTCGGCCTCACTACATCCCTCAACACCACTGAAGCAGGCAGTCTGATTATGAGGGGTAGCCAGCCGGGCAGCTGCCTCAGGCAACAGGGAGATAAACTATTACAGGAACCAATTGGAAAGGCAATGCCAGTTAACTCAGGTTTCCTGGCACAGAGCTGGCAAATTCCCACAAAACTGGAAATATGAAAACCTTTCCCTAGGACACAGAGTTCTCATTGCAATGCTTACATGTAGCTTATAGAGTATCATCAGAGGCGGGTCATTAATACTTTCATTCAGCCCAAATTATCAAGCCAAATGATATATGATATCATACTCTTCCCTGGGAAAGAGTAATTCATTCTATTACATAAATTCTAAATGTTTTACCTTCTCAAGATATTTCCTGGTTCAGAAAATACATATAATATAACCTTGTTTTAAAAATACAATTTTTCTTAAAAGTTCCTCTCTACTTAGTGAGCTCTGAACAAATATTTAAAGAATATTGAGACCACCAAATTATTAGCCTTCCTAGAATCCCTATGTTTCATCTTAGTCTGGTCTTAGGCACTGACACAGCTTATACCTGGGGAAGCCCAGGCTGGCCATGCAAACTGTTTATTCTTCTTTAAAGTCTGCATCTTGAATGAACACGAAGAACAGGCACAGTCACCCAACTAGCTAGCATGACAAGGGTTAACGTTCCTCTCCTGCCTATTCCATTCTGTGCTGTCCCAACCTCTCTGGCCGCAGACCACCAACCCTCCTGCTTGAGACTGAGAAGGTGACTTGGTTCTGGTCACTGGCTAAGGCAGGAGGCCTCCCTAATCTAAACAAGCCCTTGGCTGGCAGCACCAGGCACTGCAGTTGAGCTTGGGCACCGGTGGGCAGCCAGCCGGTTTATTTATGGTCTTTAGACTGGGGTGTAAAGAACAGCGTGCTGGCTCAGCCTCCTCCTGTTTACTCCTGTGGCTGCAGCCTCCAGACCCCATCCAGCTCCCTCACCTCCCTCTCCAGCCCTCAGCAGGCCAGGCAAAGCCATGGTCACCAGCACACACCACTCCAGGGAACCCTGCCTTTCTGTGCAGCTAGTTTAACCTTCAGAGTTTGACCTTCCTCTTCACCAGTAGGGGCATCCCAGCCCCCACACAGAGGCTATTTCCAGTCCAGTCCTCCACCTGTTCTTCAAGCTTGGATCCAGTTTGCCCCCCAACTCCATGCCTGAACCCCAGTGCTTTCAGCCTCTCAGCCTCGCTAGGACTGGGCAGCCGTCCAGTCAGGAGGGTGTCACTCGGCACGGGTCCCACCCTCCCAGCAAGGCCACTGAAACGCCGAGAGTAAACCCTGAAGTTTCCCTGAATTGCAAATATTTTAAAGAAATTCTGCTGCTGGATCTGACACTAAACCAATAGCAGTTTTCTGCACTAAGAAGCAGCGTCAAAATCACAAGTATCTTCCGTTGTTTTTTCCTTTTATGATCTGGCTCCCCTGTGTCCCTTTTCCCCTAAATGCACCCGTCCTGCCTCCCCATTCTGGCTCCTCATTGGCCCCCTGGATCTTTGCTCCCCTGCGGTCTGGTCCCAATGCGGACTTGCCCAGGCTCCCCCAGTCTAAGATAAGCTTTACAATGTTAGGGCCCCCCTGACCCCCTGGAGACACCTCTTCCCGGCAGGGCACCAGAGGGCTCTCCCCTGTCTCCTGTCGCACCCCAGCCACCCTCAGACACAGCAAGGCAGGCAAGATACCGTTACCACATTGCTCCCCTTCCACCACCTGCCCCGCCGCCAAGAACCGGCCCAGCCACCCCCAGGGAGCGTCCCACCTCAGCTCGGCTCTTGAGGCTGCTGCGCTTGGGCCGCAGGAGGACATCCTTGAAGTCCAGCTTGAGGTCCGCATCGATGCGGGGCATGGTGCGGTCCGCTAGCCCGCAGCCCGCAGCTCCTTCCTGCGGCGCCGGCGCGGGGCGGGCAGGCCGGGCGCGGGGCGGGGCGGCGGGCGGGGGCGGGGAGGGCACGGGAGGCGGGCGCGGGGCGTACCGGCCGCCGTGGCGTGTGGCAGGAGCAGGTGCGGCAGCCAGTGCTCAGTGCTCGGTGCTCTCTGGAGACCCTGCGCGCTGTACGCTTAGGACCGGGACGCCGCGCCCGCCCCTCTCCTGGGGCCCCGGTGGGAAGGGGAAGGGGTGGGAAGGGGCCGGCCGGCGGGTTAGGGACCCATCAGTGGCCGCAAAGTCCGTCTGACATTTTTAGCAGCCCCCTCCCTCCCTGCCTCCCTCCCTCCGTTTATAGCGGCAGGTTACGGAGCCTGAATTGTTGGCGGGGAAGGGGGGAGGGGGGAGGAGGCGGGCTGGACACAACCCTTCTCATTCTGAGGTTCCTATGGCGTGTGACAGCCTTTCCCAGGGGAAAAGGCCACTCTTTGAAAGGTTCTGCGTTACCTTTCTCTAATTTTAAGCCCACTGTGTCCACCAAGTGCTGAGTCAGACTTTTTCACATGCCCCCCCCCCCCCCAAAAAAAGAAAGAAAAGAAAAGAAAAGAGAAAAAGAAACCCTTCGAAAGCCCCATAGAATTAAGGAAAAGAGTGTGGCCAGGTAAATCTATTCAGCAGCAATGGTATTGACACAATTTTCTGACCTCTGGTTTTCAGAGTGGGTTGTTTTTTTTGTGTGTGGGAGTGGTGATTGGGCAGGGGTGGTTAATCCTCACCCAAAGATATATTTTCCAGAGGGGGATAGAATTGACCGCATCCAGGCACATGCCTTGGAGGGAGAGGGTGAATCAGACTTGCAATCCAAGTAGTACCCATGACCCTTGGTGTGGACTCATGCTCTAACCACTGAACCACACCAGCCAGTGCATGGTGGGTTTTAATAAAGATAGTGAAGCCCATAATCATCATAGATCCTGGGATTTAATGGACCTGAGCCCCCTCTCTAGAGTTATCAGTGATGTCAGTTTATTTTTAATTCACTTGTTGACCTTGGAAGTCTTAGGGGGCTTAGGAATGTGCTTAATAGTGCTTGGCCTGCACTTGCTCATTCACTCTCCCAATGAGCCAATGAAGAAGGAGCCACTTCGCAGATAAAGAAGATGGGGATCATATATGTGAAATATCTTCCCTGTGGTTGCAGTAAAAAATATAGATATCTCAGTCCTTAACATACAATACAAACTGAGCTAATGCTGCTTTTGCCTTGAGACCCTTCTCTACCTGGCTGCAAAATCTGACCCCACCTATTTCTAGATGGATGACCTTGAGGGAGTCACTTAATTTCTCAGTTTCCTCATAGGTTAAAAAGAGAAGAGGAGGAAAAGAGTGCTATCCTCTTCCAGGCTTATGTGATAAATTAATTAATTAATTAATTAATTAATTATGTGTGCATGATGCATATGCATGTTAATAACCACTATAAAATAGTCCATATCCTAATGGACACACACAATGTATATTCCATAGTTACTCAATAAGTAGTAGCTAGCTATTGGAGGTCACTTGTTACATTATATGAATAATCCTATCTAATAAAAGAGTAATATGCAAATCGACTGTCACACACAAGATGGCTGCCCCCATATGGACACAATATGGCTGCCACAAGATGGCCAGCAGGGGAGGGCAGTTGTGAGCGGTCAGGCCAGGAAGGGAGGGCAGTTAGGGGTGACCAGGCCAGCAGGGGAGGGCAGTTGGGGAAAACAAGGCCTACAGGGGAGGGAAGTTGGGGGAGACCAGGCCAGCAGGGAAGGTCAGTTAGGGATGACCAAGCCTACAGGGAAGGGCAGTTGGGGCAAATCAGACCTGCAGGGAAGGGCAGATAGGGGAGACCAGGCTGGCCGGGGAGCAGTTAGGTGTCAATCAGGCTGGCAGGGAAGTGGTTAGGGGAAATCAGGCAGGCAAGCAGGAGAGTGGTTGGAAGCCATAGTCCTGGATTGTGAGAGAGATGCCCCAGATTCGAGAGAGTGCAGGCCTGGCTGAGGGACAAAACCACACTCTTGTGCACGAATTTCATGCACTGGGCCTCCAGTACTATATATCCTCAAATTAGTTTGCTAAATGCTCAAAAGCAATTATCTGCAGCCTTGACCTGTTCTCAATGAATTCATATTTTGTATGGCTAACCATAAAGACACATCACAATATTCATTTAACACAAATGTCTTTAGAGATAAAGGTTATGGGGGAAGAAAATAATCTTCCTTCCACCTCTCTAAATTCTTCTGGCTGGCCTAACAATCAAATTCACATGAGACAGATTGACAGGAGAAAATAACCAAATTGAGTAGATAGGTACATACAGAGGCTCCATGAGACTTTGTGATTCAGGGACAAACTGGACACTTACGCCTTATAAATTGGGGTTGTAGTTTGAAACTTCAAAGGACAGGAAGGCATTTCACATGGAGAAGGAAAAGCAAATAATGGTTAATAAATGTTTGCTGGGCCATCTGAAATGATGGGACACAGAGAGGACTTGGATTAAAGGGGCCTTGGTAGCTTCCTCCTATCTATAAAAAACTAGTTCTAGTTAAACTTATTACCTATGATATGACCTCCCTTCCTAGAGCAGGACCTCTACCAAAATTGTTTTAGGCAATTAGGAGGAAGTTTAAAAGTTTTCCCTGTGTTTTTTGTTTTTTAAAAAATAACCACTACAAAATAGTCCATATCCTAAAGAGGCAGGTTTTGGGGTGGCAAAGTTTGCTTCCCCTCAAGGTCTTAGCCCATCCCCCTTGCTCTCATCATCTCTGCCCTACAGGAAGTCCTTGGTGTTTCATGGGAGGAAAACGAAAGTTATCAGGGAGAGAATGAAAGTAACCACAATTAGTCCAGCCAACAAAATAGGACTCTTATCAAATTGCTGGGAGCCAGCCAGCTGTGCTGCTTATTTCCAAAATAGTGAGGGAGCCTAATTCTGATCTTGAGTTCCTAATTAAAAAGAAAAGAAAAGAAAAACATAATTACTGTATGATGTGGTTATTTAAAAATAATCCTCCCTAAAGGAAAAAGAAACTAACCTTGTTAAGCATCTGCCTGAGGTAAAGTGTAGGGGTGGGTGAGGGCTTTATATTTATTGCTAGTACACTATCTTAAGGGAAAAGCATCTTTAGGTTGAACTTGCTTATGTACCGCCCTCTGTCAGTTCCTTTCAGTTAGAATAAAGACAGAGCTCACATTCCACATTACATTCCCTCCCCTTCTGGAATATTTCATCACGCCTGCTCTCCTGTCAGGCACAAAACCATACTCTATAGAGTCAGCATGGGTCCCTTATCCTCCCACACCAACCTAGGCTCCTTTAGAAGTCCATTGTACTTTCTACGTAATCCTGCTATGCTTCTTCTTACACTAATAACAATAAAAGTCACCCCTCAGTACAAGGACTTCACATTAAGGTTCTGACTGACTAGACAAAGCCATAAAAGATATCTAGAATCCAATCTGTTAACATTATTGTCTAGCTAGAGGCCCAGCGCACAAAATTCGTACACAGGAACAGTCCCTAGGCCTGGCCTGAAATCAGGGTCATCTTCCCTGGCTTTCTGAAGCCAGCTCCATTCCCCACTGCCACCCACCCCCAATTCCCCATTCACCATCAGGTGATTGGAACATGCCAGCCAGAGAGAGGAACTGAGGTGGTCAGTGTGCCTCATAGTGACTGGTTGAGTGGTCATTCTGGATATTCTGCTGTTGGGGTCAATTTGCACATTACCCTTTTATTATATGGGTGGTAGAGTGGTACTGAAAATCACATGAGACTATAACCTACAAAATCATGTGAGATAAAAACCACTTGGTTATAGTGGTAATAATTTTACATACTCACGGATTGTTTGCTAATACTCTTTTTTTTAAAGAATTTCTGCATCTGAGCTCATGAGGGACATTAGTCTGTAGTTTCTTTTATCAGGGTAATAGCACCCTCATAGAATGAGTTGGGAAATGTTTTTTTACTCTATTTTATTTTCTGACAGAGATTACATAGGATTAAAATTAAATATTTGGTAAAGTTAACTAGTGAACTAAAATTATGTGGGATGATATAATTATTTTTTTGTAGATAAGCCTTCCTCAAAACTCAGAATAATTAAAATTAAATATTAAAAAGTTGGCACTATTTCAAAATTATAATATTAAATATGAGGATAAAAAAGAGTTAATGCATATTTGATATTTTGTGTATTTGAGAAAATTTGTACAGTTTGATTAACAGAATAGCCTTCTAATGCCCATTCAAAATGTATACTTGAGTAATTGATTTAAACTTATGAGTAGAAAAGATGGAGTATTAAATTTATGTAGATGGTTGGAACATTTAAGAGAAAATAAGTTTTATATCAACAGTTATAAAAGTTGGTAAATGTGGAAAGTTCAGCTAGTTGGAGAATTCACTGCTTTACCATGCTTAATAGTTGCTAGGGATCTTGTAAAATTCGGATAATGCCTCAGTGGGTCTAGGGTGGGATTTTGCTTTTGTTAGCATGCATAATCATCACTAAGGACCTTGAGAAAATGCACATTTTGCTGCAGTGGGTCTTAGATGGAGCTAAAGGTTTTACATTTCTATCAAGTGCCTACATGAAGAAATTAGAGTTCCACTGTGAATAGTGTGGGGTACAGAGTGAGTCACCCCGAGATGTGCCTGTGCGGTATGCAAATTGTTTTGAGTTAAAGGCAACTTTAGCAAAAGGCTTAAGAGGAACTTCCAACTGAGGGACATCTGTGTCTCTTGTTCATTTATTATATTTATTTTAATAATGGTTTCTTTGAGATATAGTTCACATACTATGCCATTCACCCATCTAAAGTGTCCAATTCAGTGATATTTAGTCTATTCACAGAATTGTGCAACCATCATCACAGTCCATTCTAGAACATTTCATCACCCTGAAAAGAAGCCCAGTACCCATTAGCACCCAGTGCACTTTATCCCCACTCCCCACGGTCTTAGACAACCACTAATTTACTATCTCTAGGGATTTTTCTTTCTTTTTTTTTTTAATATATTTTATTG